AGGTGGCGGGCTGGCGGCGCTGCCTGGGAGCTGCCGGGATGCATGCACTGCTGTAATTTGTTTATCTGTCTCAAGATTATGCAGTTGGAAATCCACAATTTTATGCTGCCTTTGTAAATTACCGTGCTGCGCTTGACGGATGTCCCCCACTTCCGCGAGGCAGCATTGCGATCGTGAAGGATGGGAAGTGCTCACGCATACGGAGCAGAAGGTTATGTTTTTATACTTTCTGGCAGGCGACCATGCTGGAAAGTAAATCTGACCTTAAGCTTCCTACTGCATTAAAGATAATTCAGTTTTAACTTCATAGTCTCGAATGCTTCAGCTGCGGATATAAAAATCCGGCCCAGTCGGAGCTGACTGACTGCCAGGAAGGAACGCTTCACGGTCGCACCCGAAACACAGGGGTCTGCCCGGCCTGCAGACACGGAGGCGCAGGGAGGGAGGGGCCGGTGTGCACACAGCGGTTAATTAATGTGTACAAAGTGCTTGGCGCAGCCGCACGGGATTCAGAGGCGTCTGCTCCCGTGTGAACACAGTTCTGGGCTAATAGAACCGGCTGTCCAAACAAACGGAAACAGGGAAAACGGACGCCCAATGCACGGTGGGGGGCGGGGGGCGCCTGAGAAGAAAGCCCTCCCCCAGGGGCACGTGCCAGAGGACAGCTTGGGGGGCCCCCACCCCAACTCCCATCCGGAAGCAGGAAGAACCAGGGGCTCGGTGGCTCCCAGGGCTTCCAGAATGTTCTGCCTGCTGGGAGGTGGCAGGTTGCTCGGGCTCCCCGAGGAAGCCCCACCATCCCCACCTTCCCACACGGGTCTCTCTGTTTGCTTTCCCAGTCGGAGAGCGAGGAGAAGGTTGTCACCTATGACCACATTGGGCCCAACGTCTGCATGGGAGACCACAAGGTGATGTGTCCGCGCCGTGTGCGGTGCGGGGCCGGGCGGGGACTGGACGGCGGGGGCAGCGGGTGGCGGGCTGGACGGCGGGGGCAGCGGGTGGCGGGCTGGACGGCGGGGGCAGCGGGCGGCGGGCTGGGGGGGGGGGGCCGGGGGGGGCAGCGGGCGGCTGGACGGCGGGGGCTGGACGGCGGGCCGAGTTACTGCTTCTCCATCGGCCCACACAGCACTTGCCCAGATGGTCTGTGTTTACGTAATTGTAATAAAATACCCGAAGGTAGGTAGGTAGGTAAAGAAGGCAGAAAAGACAGAGTAGAATAAAATACAGAATTTTACTATTTATAACAAAATACTGTCACAGCCAGTGATTTCCGAAGATCGTTTTTCTAGTGTGCATTTGGGATACCGTGACTTCTCATGGCAGTGAACACAGATGCGTCCTTCAGGGGGATGCTGAGTATTTGTGCAGGGACGCACTTCATATGCGTGAGCGTCCCTAACCCCGAGCCCCAAAGTCTCACTGAGGGCAATGCTGGCCACATCTTACCTTCAGCCAAATTGGAGACACCCGCGCTTCCCATGTGCAAGGCCTCCGGGCCGTGACCACGGGGTGCATTGTCCTGATGCGCCGCCCCCCACACTGGCGCCGGGGGGAGTTGACCCGGCACAGCCGCCGGGTTAGTCAGCACTCTACGTGAGTTTTTACCTGGAAATCATGCCCTTTCCAAAACTCAAGCCCCAGCTCCAGTTGTGAGGTCACTGGGGTCTCACGCTGGTGCTTGCGTACAAGGCAGGGGGACGCAGTTTGGGCAGCCGGGGGAGGGCAGGCATCCGGAGTCTGGGTGTCAGGGTGGGCGCGTGGCCATGGGCTCTAATGCCCTCTCTTCTCCCGCTGCAGCCCGTGTTCCTGGCCTTCCGCATCGCGCCCGGGGCAGGTAAACCTCACGCCCATGTGCACAAGTGTTGTGTCGTGCAGTGACGTGTGGTAAATATGACTCCTTCCCTTGGCTTCACCTTTTCTCAGCTTTTCCTGGTGTGTTTGTTCCTTTAACGAGTGACCGATTCCACGGCAGGGAGGCGATGCCAGCGACACCAGAGGGCCCTTCGCGAGACCTCCCTGTAGCGCCGGGAGCCAGTGGGAGTCCCATCCATTGAAACACGTCCTCCTAACAGCTGCATCGACAAACCCGCCCGAGCGCCACCCGCTAGACGGCCGGCCCCACACTTCGCTTCAGCCTCCGGACCGTTCCGGAAAAGCCTCACATACCTCACTGTCTTGTCTGTTCATGTGACATTAAGTAGAAATATTGGGTTTTTGTAATAAGTCACCGTCCTGTTGCCAAAACTCTATAGACAGGAGAGGGAGTCTGTATTTTAGACTTCAGAGTTTCCATTTTTAATAATTGTCAGCGTGGGAAGAGCTTCTCCGGCGTGGAAACCCCCCAGGTGTCCCAGGTCCCCCTCTGCCACCTGGAGGCGTGCGTGGGGGCGGGCGGCGGGCGGGGGCTCTTTGCGCCTCCGGCAGTGTGGCCACTGTGAGGAGAGCAAGGGGCCCTGATCTTCGCCTCGGGCGGCTCCCCTTCCGTGTTATTTACTGCCGCGTTACATGGTTTTTGAATCACACTGCAGCTGCTTTCCATTTTTATATATATAAATATATATAAATATATACTTTTTAAAAATAATTTATAAATCTTACCAAAACTTATGCTAAATATACTCTTCGGGACGAATGCTTGCGAGGGTCCTGTCGGCAGGTAGGAATGGAGTCGAGTTCGGGGACGTGCACATCCGCACAGACCCACCCGGCCTGGCGACCTAGCGGTGCCGTCCTGCGTGGACGTCGACCACAGCACATCCACACTTGCAGATTCTTACTCCTATACCTTTTTTTCTGGGTAATATTAAGAACTGAATGTGAAGTTTCTAGCTAGCTCGGGTGTACCTTTTAAGAATTTTGTAAACTGTCCCGTCTGTCTTTTGTTACTGTTCTATGGTGCCAAGTATTCTACATAAAACAATAATATCATGGGAGAAACAAAAATAGCCTAGTCTGCTTCAGATAGAAACTGCTTTTAACATGGGCTGTATATAAAACTACTAAGAGAAACAAAACCGTAAGTTTCCGCGGCTGCTCCGTTGCACCCAGCCTACGTGGTAACCTTGCTGCGACCATCGCCCCTAGCACGAAGTACAGCATTAAAAGGTCATTGCAGAGCCTGTGGATGAAACACAACCTATGTTTTATTGATCCGCTTTAGAACACTACACAATTCCTGGACTGGGTGAAGGCCTTAGATGCTCGTTTTTAGGTAAATCACTACCATTGCAAGTGATTGGGTGTCCGCTTGCTGATATGTTCTTGACAGCGCGGTCAGGGTCAGTGCTTTGGCCGCTCTGTCCACGTGCCACACGGCAGGCCCGCCCCACGAGCTTCTGTGTAACGGGGTTTCAGCTGTTGGTCACTGTGGAGGCCTCTAAAAATGACTGCTCCGGTTCCTAAGCAATAAAATTGATCATGGTGAAAACAGTCCTGAGTCTGCTTTGTTTCTCTGCCTCCCTGGTCCCCATCTCCTTTGAAATGCTAAGTAACGGGAGGGCGCTCTTTTGTGGGCTCACCAGAAATCCCGGAATGTCATTCTATCAGACATTGCTCCACAAAACCAAGCCATTAGTTAAGTGCAGAAAAATAATCTTTTGGGTTTTTTACTGTAGTGGTAACTAATGGGAATTACCCCTCAGCATTTAAAGACGAGGTTGTAAAAATGGACTGCCTTCCTCAAAACTTTAAAACTGGGAATTCCTTTGCTCTTAACTTGAGCTGAGAGAACGATTCACTCACAGAAATAAAATAGATTTTAATATTGCTCTGTTAAAAAGAAGACCAGCCAGTGGCTCAAAAGAAATGTCTGTTTTTTAAAAACTGATGGTGCAGCCACGTGGCATAGAACAGAAAACATCAGCCTTTTCCGTTTCTCTGTAACAGTTTCAAAAATGCTTTCAAGGAGAAACCCTATAATAACGTAATCACTTCTCTTTAATTTTTAAAATTACAACGCAAGAGTTACGCGCAGTAGGACGCAAGCACGCAGAGCACCAGCCTCAGAGTGTGGAGCCCCGCCGCTGGCCCGCTCCCTGCGCCCGGTGCGGGCCGCCGAGGGCCTGGCCCGGGGCGACTGAGTGCGAGCTGTCCCTCGCAGGGCGGCAGCGTTACTTGGGATTTCTCTTTGGCGTCCCGGTCTGAATCAAATAGTTTCTACGGAGTAAAGACTATGGAACCGGGCTGCAGACGAGCTTAAAATCTGTGAGCTGCGCGCTTAGCGTGCAGTAGGAAACCTTTAGCTGCTAAGGCATTTTAAGATCTGCGTAATCAGATCAAACACATCGGTGCGAGCCAGGCGGCAGCCTAAGACTTACCCCGCGCCCGCCCCGGGGTTTCCGAAAAGAGGGACGCGCGCGGGTGAGTGCTCACCTGCCGCCGACCTCCGCCACTGAGCCGGCCCTGCAGCCCCCGGCAGGGCGCGGTGGGAGGGGGCGCCGCACCTGTCGCCGCGCGCGCACCTGCCGGCGCCGCGCCCCGCGCCCGCTGCGTTTCCGTCCGCGGCCCCGTCCGGCTCCGCTGGGCGCTCTCTGGCTTCGCGGCTCCTCCGGCGCTCCCGGGGCGGCCGAGGGGGTCTCGGGGCCAGGGTCGCCTTTCCCCGCGCCGGGCCCTCGATGTCCCCTCGCTCCTGCGAGCGCCGCCGCCCGGGCCTGGGGACACGCGGGCCGGGGTCGCACCGCGCGCCTCGCTGCCGGCCCGGCCCCGCGGGGACAAAGACTGGGGTGGCAGGGACCCGCGGGAGGGGGGGACGCGGGGGCGGGGGGTTTCGAGAAGGAAGACACACGCGGTGCAGCCTCCGGAGCCGCGGCTCCGCCGGGGACGTGTTAAATAATTTATTGATTATACAAAGTGATTCCGCCCGGGACGCGCGGCCCCGCGCCCTCCCGAGCCCGCGCCGGCCGCTTTATAACTTATCCTGTAAAAATATATATACACACGGGCGGGCGGCGGCGAGGGGCGCCGGCCCGCCCCGACCCTGGTTGCTCCGGCCGCGCGCGTGCTCACAAGGCGTCCCCCGCGCCGCCGCCGCACGGGCTGACCAGCGCCAAGTTCGCGGGTTTGTGCTTCTTGAGCAGCCGCGTGATCTTCTCGTCGTCCGAGTTGGGGTCCAGAGGCCGGTTGTACTCGTCGTCGTCCTCCGCGTCCGAGCCGCCCACCTTCAGCTTCTCGGCGTCGGAGTCCTGCTTCTTCTTGGCCGACGCCATCTCAGCCGCGTGCCGCTTGCGCCACTTGGTCCGGCGGTTCTGGAACCACACCTGCGGCGGAGGGGGACCGTCAGACGGCGCCCCGGCAGCGCCCAACCCGTGCAACGCGAGACCCCGCCGCCCGCGGGGACGTGCGGCGGCCGCGGCGGCCAGCACCCCCGCCCGGCCGCAGAGCAGCGGCGCCCCCGGGGCTGAGCCCGGGGCGGGCTGGCGGCCGAGCGCACACCGTTCGCCGGACGCGGGCGCCGAGTCGGCTTCGCGCAGCGGGGCCCGCGGGAGACCGCCCCGCACCAGCCGCTCACCTTGACCTGGCTCTCGGTCATGCCCAGGGAGTAGGCGAGGCGCGCGCGCTCAGGGCCGGCCAGGTACTTGGTCTGTTCGAAGGTCTTCTCCAGCGCGAAAATCTGCTGGCCGGAGAAGGTCGGCCGTGAGTGCTTCTTCTTGCCGTCCTTGTCCAGGACCCCGCCGGCCTGGGCTGCAAAGGAGGGCGGGTGAGCTTGGCCTGCCGCCCCGCGCGCCGCACCCCAGGCCCCGCGCCGCTTCCCTCGCTCGCCACCTACCCGGGCCGGCCAGGCGCGGGTCCCTCCAGGGCGAGCCCTGCACCACGCCGGGCCAGAAGATGGGCGGGCGCCCGGGCAGCTCGGCCAGCGGCTTGGGATAGCCGCGCGCCACGGCCGCAGGCCCGAAGTAGACGCCGGCCGACGAGGCGAGCCCGTTGAGACGGGGCAGGCCGCCCAGGAGGCCGCCGCCCGCCGCGCCCACCGGCCGCCCCAGGATGTCGCTGATGCCATGAGGGGTGCCGAGCGGCAGCTGCGCGCCCAGGCCGCCCAGCGCGGGCGCCTTGAAGCCGGCCGGGCCCTGCAACGCGTACGGGAACAGCGACGTCTTCATCTCGGCCATGTTGTGCAGCGCGGCCAGCGGCGCGCTGCTCAGCACGAACGCGCCCGGGCGGTTAGCGTCCATGGGCGCCGCCGCCGCCGGCCCGGGCGCCCATCCGGGCCCCGCCGCC